CTTTATGTTTGTGATTAATTGATATATACATATATTTGGGTGTTTCACATTAGGGGCAGAAATGTTTATACTTAGCTCTTTGTGGTGGCTAGGCCCCTTTATTATGATATAATGCCCTGTTTCATCTCTAGTTACAGTATTTATTTTAAAATCTAGATTGTATAATATAAGTATAGCTACTCCAGCTTTCTTTTGGTGACCATTAGCATGATAGATGGTTCTCTATCCCCTTACTTTCAATTTGAAGGTGTCTTTAGGTCTAAAATGGGTTTCTTATAAATAGCATATAGATGGATCTTATTTTCTTACCATTCTGACAACCTGTGTCTTTTGATTGGAGCGTTTAGTCCATTAACATTTGGAGTTTAAGTACTGAAGGATATGAATTTATTGCCATTGTGTTGCTCTTGGAGTTGGAGTTTCTGGTGGTATTATTTGGTCCTTTCCTGTCCTTGTTGCCTTTGGTCTTTTTTTGTTTTGTGTCATGTTTTTCTCCCCTCAGAGAGTCCCCCTTAAAATTTCTTGCAGGGCTGATTCAGTGGTCATGAACTCCTTTAGTTTTTGTTGTCTGGGAAACTCTTTATCTTTCCTTCTATTTTGAATGACAACCTTGCCAGATAAAGAATTCTTGGCTGCATTTTTTTTTCTGATTCAGCACTTTGAATATATCCTGCCACTCCTTTCTGGCCTGCCAAATTTCTGTGGATAGGTCTGCTGAGAACCTGTCTGTCTTCCTTTATGGGTTAAGGACTTTTTCTCCTTACTGCTTTCATAATTCTTTTTTTCTCTGTATATTTTGTGAATTTGACTATGATATGCCTTGTTGATGGTTGACTTTTGTTGAATCTAATAGGAGTTCTTTGTGTTTCTTGGATTTTGATGTCTGTGTCTTTCCACAGATTAAGAAAGTTTTCCACTATAATTTGCTCACATAAAAACCTTCTACCCCTTTTTCTCTCTCTTCATCCCCCAGGACTCCTATGATTCAGATGTTATTCCTTTCTATTTTTTAAATTTGTATTATTATGTTTATTTATTTTGAGAGAAAGAGAGAGAGACAGAGTGCGAGCAGGAGAGGGACAGAGAGAGAGGGAGACACAGAATTTGAAGCAGGCTCTAGGCTCTGAGCTGTCAGCACAGAGCTTGACGCAGGGATTGAATTCACGAGTATGAGATCATGACCTGAGCCAAAGTCGGACGCTCAACCAACTGAGCCACCCAGATGACCCGATGTTATTCCTTTTTAATAAGTCACTGAGTTCTCCAGTTCTTATAATGTGCTCTTTTGCTTTAGTTTCCCTCTTTTTTTTCTGCGTCATTATTATATTCATTATTCTATTATTTTGTTTTCTATATCACCCCCCATTCTCTTGAAAAGGAAGACTGAAATGGATTTAATATCAGTTATAGCACCATGAAGCCTCCTTAAAATCTCCAAAATACAGGGTTCAGGGAACTTCCAGGCAAGTGAACACATACCCACGCTGACACCCCAAATACATGGGGACAGAAGCTCTTGTGCTTAGGACCCTCCCAGACTTCACCCTATATATCTCTTCATCTGGTTGTTCATTGGAATTCTTCATCTGGTAAACATAAATGTTCCCCCAAGTTCTGTGAGCTACTCTAGCAAATTAATCAAACCTAAGGAGGGGTAGTTGGAATCTACAGTCTATAGCCAATTGATCAGAAACACAGGTGATAGGTAACCTGGTCTTGTGACTGGCATCTGAAGGTAGTAGGAATGGGGGAGAGTCTTATGGGATCCCCTTAACCTGTGGGATCTGACACTGTCTTCAGGTGGATGGTGTCAGAATTGAGTTTTCTTGGATACCCTGCTGGGTGTCCAAGAATTGCTTGTTGCTGTGGAGAAAAATGTCCACACATTTCGTGACTAGAGTGCCAGAAGTAAGGTATTCTCTGAAAAGGTAAAGACACACAGGTGACAAACAATGGGGAAGAACTGGGTTCTTCCCTACATTGGAAGGAAAATGGAGATTTTTCCATTATATTTGGTCTTTAGGGACAGCCTTTCTGTGCATGCAGTAAGTGTGATGATCAATCTATATACACATGCCAGAAATTCCCATTTGGAAGCATATTGGGACAGGATGTTTTCCAAAGGGAACTCTGTCCTTCATTTTATGATTACTTGGGAATTGTGTCTGAAACCATATCTTTTGGTTAGCATATCTTTTGGTTAGCACAGTATTGCACTGGATTGAGGTTTTAATGTTTTGTTTTGTTTTCTGAGAGAGAGAGAGACAGCATGAACGGAGGAGGGTCAGAGAGAGAGGGAGATACAGAATCTGAAACAGACTCCAGGCTCTGAGCTAGCTGTCAGCACAGAGCCCAAGGTGGGGCTCCAACCCACAAACCATGAGATCATGACCTGAGCCAAAGTCGGATGCTTAACCTACTGAGTCCCCCAGGTGCCCCGGATTGAGGTTTTAAGACATATAATTGATTTTTCACTTTCAGAAATATTTATGTTTTTAGTGTTAATTTTTTAAAAAGTACAGAAATGAGCTAATTTGGAATATTGTCACTCTGCTGAAGTGAACAGCAGAGGGACAGGCATAAACCAGCCTTGTGTCTGGATCCCTACCTTCTGCATGTCTCCTCTTCCATCACAGCCCTCAAACATAGATATTTTAACACACTTTGAAATCCCCTACATGGTCATTGTAGAGTGGCCTCTGAGCACTATGGTGAACATGTAATTTTTACCCATTTTCTTACTGTTTAGTCTTTTTGTTATACTTGTAGAAACATTTTTCTCTTTGCCTTTTTATAGTGTCCAAATAACCTCTTCCACGACAGTCAGAATCCTGGAGCGCTTTTGGCTGTTTATGCTATAAAAACATGAAATTAACACATCAGGTAGATTTCACACTCCCCCCTTCCTGAGCAGATTGATGTAAATTGAATTTCACATTAATCAGACGGAGCAATATCCATCTTCTATCCAGTGGAAATTTATGATTTTCACTTACTTAAGAAAAGTGCTATAGGCTTTCTGTTTCTTTCACTATTTAAACATTGGTATTTTTGGAGTTTTTTTCTTACCTGCGTTGCTACCTTATTTATTATCCTATTTCCTCTGAAATTTTTATTTCAAGGTTATTCAGTCCCATATTAGATAATTTATTTCCATCAAATTAAATTCCATGTATAAATGTTTATATTATCACCTATATTGTACTTTTATTACAAAAACATCAGTCTGTTAATCAAATATTGAGTACCTACCATTAATACAGGAGAAGGAAACAATTAAGTACAATAAAACCCACTGTTGGCAGAGTTGTTGTTAGTGTTTATCCTGAATTTCATTATTTCAGTGGACTCTACTCTCACTAATTGGTTGTTTCATCCAATTCCTCTGACATAGGTTAAATTCTATGACTCTCGAACAGTCTTTTTCAAGCTAAGGGTTTTAACCCATTAATGGGACCTGAAATCAGACTCAAGATGAGCTGTTTTTCATAGAAATGGAATGGATCCAAAATGTCAGAATGCGCATCTGGTAGTAAGGGTAGATCTTGTTTAGTGAAACTTTGTTTCAATTACATATATTTTTGTTTCAAACATACACATACACCTATAAACTTGTATATTGTGTCACAGTGTAACATTTTTCTTACTGTAGGTGCCAGTCAAAAAAGATTTAAAAGTCACTTAAACTTTTAAGAACTCTAGAAATGTTCTCCTGATTCATTGACTTAAGAGCTTTGATTTTTTTAATGTAACCTCAAAGAGTCTGTGAGGAGAGGTAAGCGTTATGGATGTTCAACAGAAATGGGTATGCAAATAGTATTATAGAGAACATATTCAAGTCACTTTTACAAGATAAAATCAAGTAGGTATCTAAACGATAGATTTTAAACCTCAAAACTGACCCCTGATGCAATATAATAAGTTCCAAACTCCATAGCTTTCTTATTCAGGGACAATCATCCACTCAGAGATAGTGCTCAGAGACCTCCATGCTTGAATTCCAGGGCTGCCACAGAAATGTCTCTAATGGAGACCCCCTTTGGGAAGGGAATGTAGCAGGCATTTCTCAACTCCACTCAGTGGTGTCTCCTAATGTCATGAAGTACCTGGGAATTAGAAGAAGGTCTTCCTTAGGAAGAGAATGAACCAGACTCCTTACTAGATTCTGAATGAGTTCCATGAGGGCAGGTATGTTGTCTCTGACACACCTTTCACACTTTTCTAGTGTTTTCATTCATTCAGTTTAAGGATCTGATAAATGAATCCTTCTCTTTAGAAATCCTGTGTCTGATTCAGTTCTTTCACAAGATCCACCCGCTTGGTTACACATTGACTTTTGTAAGTCTTCTATTTAATTTGTTATTGACAGTTCGCTTGTTAAATCTTGTTCCATTCCCTTTCAAATCTGTCTTCATTTGCAAGCATAGCTGAAATCTTCGTCATGCATTCATCTTTTCAAAAGTAGTGATTTAGGGGTCCCTGGGTGGCTCAGTCAGTTAAGCATCCAACTCTTGATTTTGGTTGAGGTCGCGATCTAACAGTTTCTGAGTTTAAGCACCAATTCGGGCCCATGCTCACAGCACAGAGCCTACTTGGGAGCTTCTCTCTCTCTCTCTCTCTCTCTCTCTCTCTCTCTCTGCCCCCTGCCACTCGCTTGCACACGTGGTAGCTCTGTCTCTCTCAAAATAAACTAAAAAAAAAAAATAAATGTAGTCCTTTATATGCCTATTCTTTTTGCTCCTTTTTACTATTTCAGGGTAATTTAAAAAATGTATTATGTCTTTGTGGCATTATAGAATTCCTTCTGAGGTAATGTCTTAGATGCTAATACCCTCTACTAGCAGACTTTGTGTACCAGGGAATTTGATAAGCGATTCCATTTAGTTTAAATAAAAGGATAAGCCAGAGCTAAGATGGAACATTTCTGGGACTCCTTTAGACTTGTCTCATTTATATTATCAACTAACAAGCTATAAATGGCTTCTTCTTTTTAACGGAAGAACTTTGTTGCTTAGAAAACAACAACTGGCGACTGAGTATAACCGGAAACAAGTTCTCCGACACCGCTTTACAGAGTGGCAGCATTGGCATCATGCAGAGATCCTAAAGAGAGAGCTGGCTCGAACAAAGGAAGAAACCAGAAAGAGAATGAATGAGCTGCTGAAGGCAGCATCACTAGGGAAACTCAGCGCAAATGGGTCACCTGGCATCAGTCTACTTGAGGAGGCAGCAGCCATGGTGGATGCACCTGTAAGAAATGGAGAGGTACAATGTTTTTCCTTTGCTTGGTCTTCTATTTATTAAACACTGGTATCTGAGCTCTGCACTTGTATAGCCTGGGATATATTAGCCACTATCAGATTGCTTTGCCTGGATGATCTAAAATAAAAGATAAAAGCTGTCTACAGTGCACAAAGGTTACCTTTCAGTCAGTGTTTATTTTCTCAAACTGAATCTTCTTTTTATATGTAACATATACATTTTGGTATAGTTGTGACTCAGTAGGGACATAATATAGAGAGGGAATTTAAAACAACTGAGGGGCACCTGGGTGACTCAGTTGGTTAAGCGTCCGACTTCAGCTTAGGTCATGATCTCACGGTTCGTGGGTTCAAGCCCCACATCCGGCTCTGTGCTGACTGCCAGCTCAGAGCTTGGAGGCTGTTTCGGATTCTGTGTCTCCCTCTCTCTCTCTGAACCTCCCCTGCTCATGCTGTCTCTAGCCCTCTCTCAAAAATAAATAAAACATTAAAAAAAATTTAAAACAACTGAGAGAATCTTTCACAAAGATAAAGCATTGTTTATAACTTTTGAATTCCTCTTACTTGATTATCAGACATTTCCTTTGCAAATGAGCTTGTGACATACATATACACATATCTATGTATTTACACGTATCTATATATGGGGTTTTAAAGTTTTTATTTTTCTAATAAGAAAATCATGTTAATTATGGTAATTTGATAGGAGAAAATGAGAGAGGAAAAAGAAAAGTAGCCTATAATTCCATCATTTGGAGGTAACCACCAATAATAACATGTTGGAATATGGCCATATAGTCTTTTCTCTATTCAGGAATATGCAAATTTTTCTCTTTAATATTTTATTTAACTTTTAAATTTTCTTCAACTTATTGAAGATATCTACTTTTTCATAACATATAATACAGAGGAAGTAAGGCCATTTTCTTTCTTCTTAATAACTATGTAACTATTCTGTTTTTCTAAAAAACTACTTCATAATTTTATAATATAACATGAGAATTTTCTATGCCACCAAATCCACTTCTACAACAGTAGTTCTCAATTGAGGGTAAACCACAGATGAGACCTGTTAAATCAGAATTTCTGGTTGTGGGGCACCTGTATCTTTTTCAAGTTTCACAGGCGGCCCTGTGAATACCCCTTGCTTAAGGACTACCATTCTATAATGGCTGTAGATAGATGCTCTGTTGTGAACCCTAAGCTAGAATCTGTGTACTTTTTTCTCTATTGCTGGACATTGAAGTTGTTTCCACTTTGCCCCTATTGTAAACAGTGCTTCAGTGAACATCACTGTAACGAAATCTTTGCAGGCATACACTTTTACTTAAATGCTTTACTTAGGATAAATACCTAAAAATAGAATGCCTATTTTAAAGACGATTACCAAATTGCCCTTCCACAAAGTTTGTGCCAAAGAAATGCCTATTTTCCTGTCTAGTAACATGTTTTTCATTTTTGCTAAGTTGATAGGTAAAATATTTTCATCTTATTATTGCTTCAACATTTGCATTTTTTATTAGTGAAGTTAAACATTTTTGGTAATGACCATTTACATATTTATGTATGTGAAAATGGAGATAGATAGTAACTTGTTTCTTCATGCCGACCATTTACATATTTATGTATGTGAAAATGGAGTTAGATAGTAACTTGTTTCTTCATGCCATTATACATTTTTCTGTTTGATTATATATATTTTTCTTATTTGTAGGGCTCTTTATATTAGACTACTGACGCTTTTATTATGACATTTTGCATAAATTTTTTTCAGTTTTTTCATTGGTCCTTTTGAGTAAGTTTTGGTGTTTGGTACTATACAGAGTTAAGTTTTTATAGAGTGAATCCTATCAGTTTTTTCTTTCATAATTGCACTTGTCATATTTGATTTGCACTTTTCCTCACCTACCACCTCACCTCCACCCCAGGCCCCTCTGGTCTTCCACATAACACTGTTGAGCCCTTAACTCAGACATGTAAAATAAACAATACCAAAGGGGCCCCAGTCTTGTTTTTTACCCTGATTTCTACCAGTAAGTAGGCTGGCTTTAATTTAAGCCTAGTCTCTCAGCAAAGAGTTATCATGAGGATGCTGCTTGGGACTTGTGTAACATTTTGGTCCCTTCCCCTAGGCAATTTATCTACCTTTATGTCAGTTAGATAATTTTACTTCCATTGAGACCCAAGAGAGTCTTCTATCTTAAGAAATAGCTGTGTGGAACCTTTTGCTTTACAAAGTTACACTGTTGTTATCTTTAAATTTAGAAAAGACAACAAAGTGTTTTTTATTTGCATAAAACAGAAAAAATACTGTGTGTAATTTTCTTACTATATGTAAGAAATAGAAGGAAAAGCCTTTAAATCTCTGAAATCAAGAATTCTGAAAAAGATTTTATCAAGGAAATATATTATAAAAAATAAAGCAAGTGAAAATAAAAGGATATAATAGACTCTGTAGGTCACTAGATAAGCCCTAATTTTTTTCAGAGTGTAGAATATAACATGAACAAATAAAATATAAAATCTTTAGTTAGGTGCTCACTAATTATACAATCATAGGGACTCATGTACCACAAATCCATACATTATACCTTGAAATTGTTCAAAATTATCAGTTAGCTTATAGACAATTTTTGCTAATTACACCAGCCTATTCAGTCCTGTTTCAGCAAGTATAATCTGTACCACTAAGCTTTCTTTCATTCTCTTATTTTTACCGTGAAAAGTTGCTGTGATCCAAAAGAAATCTTTTTGCTGCACCCAAGGCTTTTACAATCTTGCTGGGTTAATAATGCACTGTTATCACAAAGTTTAAAAGGGCCTAAACCATATACCCTGCTTGATGCTAAATTACTTAAGCAGGTGTTCTCATAAATACATATCCATTGATGTTTCTGAAATAGAAGGTTATTTTTTAGTCTTTAACATGTCAGAGTTTCCATATATCACATTTTTCACTTTAGCTGAGTCTATAGGAAATATCTTCATCATCATGAAGAATATCTAGTATGGTACCCTCTTAGAGCTAAAAGCTTTTAAGATATAAGATAGTTCATAGTGTTTTTCTCCCTGTACCATTGCTGATGGCAGAATCAAATACTGATCAGACCTTAGGCTTTTACAGATGAGACATTCTAGAAGAGACATTTTAACTATGTGTTATTTTGGTCAGGATTAGTTTTTCTGATTAAGAATTCTCTTTCCTCCCCCTCTATATAGAACTTATTATATGAACTAATGAGTATGATATCTCAGTCTTTTGAATGAGATCTGTTATATGGTAAAGCTTTGACATATGCTAAAATATTATATTATTGATATTATTATATAATGCAGATATTTGCCCACTGATCATAGGCTTGCAAATATTTGCCACAGATAGTCTGGAATAGCTGGAGACTATAAACTTTAATCCAGGCTTTTATCCTGAAAATCAATGAATGAGTGAATAAACAACATACATACATACCCTGTGATTAATTTATTAGTGGCAAGAGGGGCATTGAGAACAGAGAGCTATTATTGATTTGTAAAGGTAGTTGTTAGTTTTCAAACATTCTTTTTTATTTAATTTTTTTTTCTTAATGTTTACTTCTTTACTTTTGAGAGAGAGAGAAAGCACAAGTGGGGGAGAAGCAGAGAGAGGGAGACACAGAATCTGAAGCAGGCTCCAGGCTCTGAGTTGTCAGCACAGAGCCCAGTGCAGGGCTCGAACCCACAAAGTGTGAGATCATGACCTGAGCCAGAGTCGAACGCTCAACCAAAGGAACTACCCAGGTGCCCCAGTTTTCAAATGTTCTTGAGGGAGAATATATCGTTTGCCAAAAAACTTGGAGTTAATTCATGCAGATTAAAATTCCTGTCATATATATCTAGAATAATCCTGCCTAATTGACAAATCAACTATCCAAATTAGAAATTTCTAAGAGCACAGTTTTCTTATTGTAAATGTCCTGGCCCATGGCAATGGTTTGTACAGCTGTAGCCACTCACCCACCTAGTTTCCGTGCTGAGCAGCAGTGCACATTCTGAGAATAGCTCACAGAGCCAAGGCTGCTAGCTTCTGAGATAGCCAGGCCAAGAGCACAGGGCAGTTGTGCCACTGAACCAAACAAGGCTGACTAGATGATGTTGGATCTCTTCAACATAGTCCTTTAACTAGCTGAACTGTAACATGCTCCTTCTCTCTCAGGTGACTGGTGGGCCGCCTTTGTGGGAAAAGTCTCTCTCAGAGAGCAGTGATTGCCTACCCAGCCCTTACCTAGAAAGACCAACAAAGGGCAGCTTGCAGTTTCCCTTCCAGCAAGTCACTTTGAATGCATCTGACAATAAGCAGCATGAGACCCAGGATGTTGAGCCTTTCCAACAGCCTGGTAGCAACAAGATCAAAACCACCAGCCAGAAAGCAAAATCCATATGCATGGGTCATTTCCACACCTGCCATGTTTTCCAGCAACAGTTAATTGAAAAGCAAAAGAAGAAACTTCAGGAACAGCAGAAAACAATTCTGGAGCTGAAGGAAAGCCAGCGGTTAGCAGAGGCGCGGTGGGCAGCCGAGAGGGCTACAGCAGTCACAGATGCACAGAGCTGCCAGCTGTCAAACCCCAGAGAAAAAGAACCTAAGAGAACCTGCCAGGTCCTTCCAAAGTATGTCCATTATATCAGAACACTCTTTGGACTCATGATTTGAGAGGCCCCTGAACTTCTTTGCCCAGCTTCCAGACTCCTTGATCTCTCCCTTTCTTTTATAATGTACTCTCAAAACAAAGAAGCCGCAGTACATTGTGATCAGTACTTGACAGGTAGATATTTGAGGCTACTGGCTACCTGTGAGTTATACAGTTAGCATTTGTGTTGTGGCTGTCTTTGTCTGAGGAGTCCTGTTGCTATACCAGTAAAAGAGAACAAAGCTTCTTTGCTTGCTCTAACTTGATTTCTGGGTTTCTAATTATGTTTAGTCCTGAGAAGCCAGGTTGGACAATATCAGGTGCAAATGGAGCATCCCCTGGACTGGCTAAATACCTAGCTTAAATGTGTAGTTGTTTTGGATAAAACAACTTTTAGCCTGAAATAAGAGTCCAGATTTCTCAAAAGCCACATATGGTAGTTTCAGACATGCTTGAGACATACTCCATACATGTGATAAATGGTAGGGTAAGAAGTGGGTGATAGATACCTATTGATCTGAAGCCCTGGGATGGGAGTCCGAGCACCTGACTCACACTGCAGACTGAGGCCAGTCACTCAACCTTTCCATGCCTTGTTACACCAATTTATTGAGTGGGCATAATACGTAGTATCTTAGAGAGTAAAGATAATTAAAATTTGTGAAATGCTTTGAATTCCTCAGACTTGAGAGTTTTGAACAAAGCTGGTTATTGGTCTGAATGCTTTCCTTTTTTTTTTTTTTTTTTTTTTTATCCCCTTTTCGCCTGTTGCTCCCCCTGGAACTGACGGTAGTAGAAGTGACTCCCAAAATTCTCTCTCTGGAGCCAGAAGGAACCCATGGTTGCTGGTTTCTTCTCTTCTTTTTTTTTTTTTTTGTTTGTTCTTTTTTTCGGTCTGGTGGGGGTTATCTTCCTTCCTGAAATAGAATATGCTGGGGCTGAATCCTGGAAACTCTTGGGTTTTGAGACTTGGGAGAACCTGGTCAAAGATAGGTAGACATGTGAGGAGACCAGTGCACCAGAATTCCTGCCCCTTCTGCCACACTTTCTGGCTTTCCCAACCAATACAAAAAGAACAAAAACAAACTGAAAGGTATATCATCTTTCCATAATACGAGATTTGGATTGTGGGGGGTGTGGGAGGAATGGGACAGTTACACCAATGAGAAAACTCTAGGTAATTGCTAACAACAAACACTGATAAAGATCACCTGACATTATACTTTGTTAACCTTAAAATATTGATCCATTTAGGGGCGCCTGGGTGGCTTAGTCGGTTAAGCGTCCGACTTTCGCTTAGGTCATGATCTCACGGTTCGTGGGTTCTAGCCCCACGTCGGGCTCTGTGCTGACTGCCAGCTCGGAGCCTGGAGCCTGTTTCAGTCTGTGACTCCCTCTCTCTCTGACCCTTCCCTGCTCACGCTGTCTCTCTCTCTCTCTCCTAGAAATAAATTTAAAAAAAAAAAAAAAAAATTAAAAATAAATAAATAAAAAGCTATGCTTTAAAAAATTAAAAAAAAAATATTGATCCATTTATAGCAATCCACATCAAGTTATTACATCATCTTATAATGAGTTGTACCTTGATGATAGGCTTTAATGAAATCTACAGACCAGGCATTAATAACATTTCGATGCATGTGGAAATCATTATTTAAACCAAATAATGCTGTGAGAAGAAAAGCATTCTCCACCTAGTGAGTCTGCTGATTGTTTATACTGAATAGTCATGTGCTGTATATGTTTGTATATAGATGTCGGCACGTTGGCAGTTCAGTTATATTGTGGTTCGTAAATCTGATTTTTCAGATTTTTCAGATGATTTTTCAGCTATGGCAAGATAGCTGCCCTAACAAGAAGTGATGTCATCTGAAGGCACACTGTGCCTGAAGCCCTTCCTTTTCATGAAGAAATAGCAGTCTCTGCATTGACTGCCAGGACAGCAGTCTATGCCATCTTTGTCTCACACTGAGGATAGTCAGGAAATGCCTAGCTCAGTGTGCTTATTTTTAAAAAATTATTGTTTGGATCAAGGAGTTATCATATTTTAGAACTGCAGGCTCCTTTTCAAGTAGTCTTTAATGATTCGCTCTAGAAAGCATGGGGAAAGAGCTTATTACCAGAGACTCTGCTCCTCAGGGCTCTCGCTCTAATCCTCTCGTCTATTTCTGCCTCCTTAAAGACAGCCTCACTGCCGCCATCTGCAGCTCCCCTACTATCCTTTCTCCAGCAAAACAGACACTTAATATCTGTAAGAAATAGCCTAGTGAGTTTTTTGTTTATTCATTCTTGAAAGTTGGACTTAAATTTTTCCTCTCTAACGTGGCATAAGTAACTATCGGCTGACTTAGGCGGGCAGAACTTGATACTCCTCCCACCCATGCCTGTCTTCCTGTAAAAGCCCCAACTGATGACAGAGTCATATTATCAGACCATCTTGCACATTTGCTTCTTTTGGATCGATATTTAATAGACTGTCAAGAACAGGAGTCTGACACTTGAATTCGCTCAGATGCCAGTTCTCCAAATGCCTAGTACAATTCCATCCTGCCTGTCTGGATATCTATCCAGGCCTTAAAACTAGATTTTAATGTATTCATCATGACCCTAAACTTTAGTTTGTTGTTGTTATTGTTCCACATGCAGACATACGTATAATGACTTAGGAAAGAGGACTGATTGTACTGTCAAAGTCTGTGTCAGACGTATTTAATGTTTTCTACGTTCATTAAAAAAATCATCAAATTAAAATTCGGGCTTCTGGGGGCGCCTAGGTGGTTCATTTGGTTAAGTTTCCGACTCTTGATCTTAACTCAGGTCTTGATCTCTGGGTCATGAGTTCAAGCCTCACATTGGGCTTCATACTGGGCGTGAAGCCTACTAAAAAAAAAATCTGGGCTTCTGGGTTTCAGTATCATCAAGGCACATTATCTTACATAAATCAGTAAACATTTATTCTAATAGGAAAGTAAATAAAAACATAATTTACAAATTGTTCATCCCTGCTGTGGCTAGGATTTTAGGTCTTTAATTTGAGGGGGTATATAAGTAATATATATGCTTACATATTTATAAATCACAATTACAACTTATATTTTATATGAATTTATTTATATGTTTATAAACAAATAAATAAATGTTTCTGAGATTGTAAACATTCAACCTGCAAGAAAACCCTAATAATAACACTAAATTTTGCTATAAAATGTAGAGACTTTTTTTTTGCAGTGTTCCTTATATTTTTGATATTGGAGCTGTGTTACTATTTTCTAGCCATGGAAGAGAGAGCAGTTCAGCGAGCTGAACGTAGGCGGATCTTGGCAGAGAGGAAGAAAAAACAAGAAGAGGAGAAATTGGTAAATCAAGAATGAAACCCCAGGCAAGATAAAGGATTCATATAGGTCTTTAAAAAAAAAAAAAAAAAAAAGTGAAGCCTAGCTTGTTTAGATGTTTTGAGACAATAGAGCTAGATCAACTTTAGAAATGGCTTTTTACCCACTGGCCTGAACTCTGAAAATTTAGGAAAAAAAGGTAAGACACCAGCAACACCATTAGTGTAGCAGGAAGGAAATGTTATAAAAGTTGATAACAGCCAGCAATTGGGAAGATTGGCAGATTTAGATTTAGATGTCCAGTCTGGCAAGCTGCAAAGGTGAGTAGCTCCTATCCTACACCGTTGTGACCTAGACTGTCGAAAGTAAATTTTGTACATAAGAAGAAAAAATAAACAGTTTGGGGGTTTTTCGTGTGTGAAATGGAAGAAATTTTTCCTACACTGTATAGAGTTTGAACTTAGTGTTTCACAGGTGAAAATAACTAAAAAGTAATCATTTTTTGATAAAAAAGCAATGTTCTTTTCTTGCTTAGTATCACTTTCCCAAGTAGAAGAGGATTATTTTGGAGATACTTTTAAGTTATACAACTGACCACCTGTGGGTTGGATTTTTCTACTTTTATCACGAAGTATAGGCTTCTTCCAGGGACAGAGTGGGCACTTTTGTAGATACTTGACTTTCTTCAATATGAAAAATCTTATTTCCTTACAAACACAGCATTCTCATTTTTTACTGACTCTAATCTTGATCAGGCCCAGTTAAAGGCCCAAGAGGAGGACCGTCAGAAGAGGGAAGCAGAAGAAAAGGAAGCTCAGCTTAAGAAAAAACGAGAAGAGAGGAGACTGCATAAAATGGTTTGTAATAAATGTCTGGTCAGCCTCCTGTCTGTGAAAACCTATTGTGTGCATTACTGTGGTCCATCCCAGAACTTCCAACCAAAACACTCTTCTCACACCTCTACCCTTTTTCTCTACCTTGGGTAGTGAAAACTTGCTCATTCTTAAGATCGTAGCTCAAATGTAACTTCTTCCAGATTAGCCTTTCTTGCCTTGTACACTCACTTCTCCACCCAAGGTTAGGTTAAGTTCCCCTTAATGGACTCTGAAATATATTTCCTTCAGAACATTGCCATGGCTTATAATTAAGCATATATTTTGTGGTTGTCTTACTGATTTCAGCATCCCCAGCTAAACTGATACCTCTTTGAGACTAAACGGAGCAGTCTGGTATTGCTCACTGTTGTATTGGTTAGCAGTATAGTAGGCATATAGTAGGAACTCAGCAAGTGTGTTAAATGAGTGAATAGATGAATGAACAAATAAATGAACAAATGGAGGAAATTACACACAGAAGAAATAAGAGATAAAACTCTTACTTTCAAGATTATTAAGTTCTAGTTGGAAAGATAAGGCCTAAAATTGCACACCTGTCAGACAATATAGTCCAGCACAAGCTGTCTTGTGCCTCAAAGACCAAAGGAGATCAAGAGAGTCATATAAAGCAAGATCTATGAAGATTTGGGGGATATTATAGACGTTTTCATATAAAGAAGATTCAAATTGGAAATTGTATTAGTCATGATTTTACAGAGAAATAGAAGCAATAAAATATATGTATAAGGAAGAGATTTATTATGAGGAACTGACTCACATGATTATAGAGACTGAGAAGGCCCATATCTGCCATCTGTAAGCCATAGACCCAGGAAAGCCAGCGATGTAATTCCAGTCTGAGTCTAAGGCCTGAAACCGGGAGAACTGATGGTATAAATTCCAGTGTAGGAACAGGACAGACCAGTGTCCCAGCTCAAGCAGGCAGGCAGAAAGAAAAGAGAGGCAAATTCTTCCTTGGACGATGCCCACTCACATTTGGGAGGGCAGTCTACAAAAGTGCATGGATTCAAATGCTAATCTCATCCCAAAACACATTTACAGACACACCCCTAAATGTTTCATGTAGGCACCCTATGGCACATGCAAGTTAGCAGGTAAAATTAACCATCACAGGTCTACCCCTTATCAATTTGGCACCCATACATACCTTCTTAAATCATATCTGATCTCCAAATAAAGACAAGATCATCATTCTGCTTAACACAATACAGCTATCCTGCATACAACTGAAAACATACTAACTCCTTCCCCAGAAGAGGAAGTGAAGTCCTTAAGTGACTCATTACTCTTCCCGTTGCTCTCCCATAACTTAAATACTGTGGGTGTAAAATTAAAAATACTTAATGATACAAAGTCAATACATCTTTTTAAAAATTTTTTTCAACATTTATTCATTTTTTGGAGATAGTGAGTGACAGAGTACAAGTGGGAGAGGGGCAGAGAGAGAGGGAGACACAGAATATGAAGCAGGCTCCAGGTTCTGAGCTGTCAGCACAGAGCCCAACACAGAGCTCAGACTCACAAACTGAGATCATGACCTGAGCCAAAGTCAGATGCTTAACCGACTGAGCTACCCAGGTGCCCCTAAAGTCAATACATCTTATATTACTGTTCATTGTAGAACATTTGAGAATACAAAAAAAAAATTTTTTTTAATCTATAAGCCCAGCACTAAGAGATAACTATTCAGTACTTTAGTATATTTACTTCTTTTTCTCTAACCATCTCTCGTTGATAGATTGATAACCGGGGGGGAGGGGGGTGTATATAGTTTTTAATCTACTGTTTTGTATTCAAGAGTTTATCATGAGTATTTTCACTTGTCATTCAGAATTCTTCAAAACCTCCTATATGTTGAAGGTCATTTTTTTTCTTTTTTCAAGGTTTTATTTAAATTACAGTTAGTTAACATAGAGCGTTACTACTAATATGTTAACATATTCCTTTTCAGGAGTAGAATTTAGTAACTCATCACTTAACATACAACACCGAGTGTTCATCATAACAAGTGCCCTCCTTAATACCTATCATTTTTTAAAAATAAACTTTTTGTTTTGGAATACAAAAACAAATTACAAAAAAGTTGCAAAGGTAGTAGAGGGAGTTTTCATATAACCGTCACTCAGTTTCAGTTTCTTCTTTAATGTTATCATCTTCTATTACCACGGTACATTTGTCAAAACCAAGAAACCAACATTAGCACATTACCGTTAACACCAGACATTATTCAGATTTCACCAATTTTTTCCAGTTTTTCTAACTTCTTGCTATGTCTTCACATGGTAGAAAGAGCTACGGAGCTTTATGGGGTCTCTTTTATGACAGCACATCCCATTCATGGGGGCTCCAACTTCATGACCTAAGCACCTCCCAAAGGCCCCACTTCCTAACAGCATCATTTTGGGCCTTAGGATTTCAACATAGGAATGGGGGTGGGGGGTGGGGAGAGAGGAGAACACATTCAAACCATAGCCCTTTGTCTTTTCTTGTTTTTTATGGCCTCGGCAATTTTGAGAAGTACCTATCAAGTATTTTGTAGAATATTCCTCAATTTGTGTTGGTCTGATGTCTTTCTTAGAATTCTGGGGTTATAGTTTTTGTTTTAAGAATGCCATCTAGGTGAAGCGCCCTCCTAATTTCATAGCAGGAGATACATGAAATAAAGATGACTTATCTCTGGTGATACAAACTTTGATGACTTGTTTAATGCAGTGTTTGACAGGTTTCTCCACTCTGAAGTTAGTAGTTTTCCCTTTTCTTCTTCTGTAATTCAGCGGCATTTCATTAAGCCTGGTCCACTCCCAAAGTAGGGAGGAGTGAAAATTAAGCTCTGTCTCTTGAAGGGAGGAGTATTATTTGGGATTCTTCTATGAGGGAGATTTATTCTTTCTCCATTTGTTTATTCAATCATTTACAGCAGTGTGGACTCATGTGTGTTTTATACTTTGAGTTATATACACTTTTTTGTACACTTTGAATTATAAAAATATTATTTATTTTGTTGTTCAAATTGTTCCCTCCTTGGCTATCGGAGCCCTTTTAATGTTGGCTCCTGGCTCCTGGCTCCTGATTCCTGTTGGCTCTGACATGTCCTCTTCCTTCTTTGGCTCTGGGGTATTTTACTTTCCAATACTGTTCATCTTATATTTTCATAGCCTCAAATCTTAGACTCAGCCATTACTCCAGGGTGCCCTGGTTCTAAATGGTATTTGGAAAGCAAGATCTGGACAGTGAGGGTATGCATTGTTTGCGGGATGTCATTAATTCAAGTACCTTGGCAGAGAGCGCTAGCTCATATACATATGCATACTAAACCAGGTACACACCTATAATTGTTTCTGTAGCTAGCCATCTTAGTAAACGTTAAGCTAAACGTAAGTTCATCCTAATGTCCCTGGCTGTAATCTAACATCAGACGATTTATTTTTCCCTTCCATTCTTGTTTGTCTGTAAATTTCCTCTCTGGCTCCCACAATTCACCATCCATTTACTTAATTTGTTCAGATCCAGTAAATATGTAAAGCAGTTTCAGAACTGTTAATTCATACCCCCATGAGAAAATTTACCAACTGGAATACAGTATTTATACAGTTCCTTTTGTTTTTAACCTTACAGTTTCCAATTAAAATTTGGTTTCTAGTCACTTAGGTCAGCTTCTGTTTTTCCCCACCTCCTTGTATCGTTTGTAATAAGTTAAATTTTTTTGCATATAGACATTCAGTTTTCAGTATCATTGAGAAGGCTATCTTTTCTCTATTTAAATGCCTTTGTCTCCATTTAAATGCCTTTATACCTCCATTTATTTATTTATTTTTTTACAAATAGTTTATTGTCAAATTGGTTTCCATATAACACCCAGTGCTCATCCCCACAAGTGCCCTCCTCCATGCCCATCTCCTCCCTCCCCCCCACATCCATCAGTCCTCAGTTTGTTTCTCAGCATTCAAGAGTCTCTCATGGTTTGCCTCTCTCCCTTTCCCCCACCATTTCCCCCCTTCGTCTCCCCCATGGTCCTCAGTTACGTTCCTCCTAATCCTCCTATACGTGCAAACATATGGTATTTGTCCTTCTCTGCCTGACTTATTTCGCTCAGCATAACACCCTCAAGGTCCATCCATGTTGCTACACATGGCCAGATTTCATTGTTTCTCATTGCCATGTAGTATTCCATTTTATAGATAAACCACATCTTCTTGATCCATTCTTCTGTTGTTGGACACTTAGGCTCTTTCCATGTTTTTGCTATTGTTGAGAGTGCTGCTATGAACATTGGGGTACATGTGCCCCTATGCATCAGCATTTCTGTATCCCTTGGGTAAATTCCTAGCAGTGCTATTGCTGGGTCCTATTGTTAGTTTCCTGAGGAACCTCCACACTGTTTTCTAGAGGGGCTGCACCAGTTTACATTCCCACCAACAGTGTAGGAGGGTGCCCGTTTCTCCACATCCTCGCCAGCATCTAGAGTTCTCTGATTGGCTCATTTTAGCCACTCTGACAGGCGTGAGGTGGTATCTCAGTGTGGTTTTGATTTGTATTTCCCTGATGAGGAGGGATGCTGAGCATCGTTTCATGTGTCTGTTGGCCATCTGGATGTATACCTCCATTTAAATGTCAGAAATCAGTGGACTGTATTTGTGGGAGTCTATTTCTGGGCTCTATTCTGTCCTGTTCCTTTTTACATATATTCCTTTGCCAATTGCTGTCTTTTTTTTTTTTTTTTTAATGTTTATTTATCTCTGAGAGAGAGACAGTTCAAGCAGGGGAGGGGCAGAGAGAGAAGGAGACACAGAATCTGAAGCAGGCTCCAGGTTCTGAACTGTCAGCACAGAGCTCAATGAGGGGTTCAAACCCACCTACGACAAGATCATAACCCAAGCCAAAGTTGGACGCTCAATCAAATGAGGCACCCAGGTGCCCCTGCCAATTGCTGTCTTTGATTGCTGTACCTTTATAGTAAATCT